AAAAAAAAAAAAAAAAAAAAAAAAAAAAAGAGTCAGAGGCTTCCCTGATTGCAGCAACTTTTTATTTTTATTAATAGTTTGCACCATTTTCCCAGTAAGTGAAGATTTTGTTCTCTTGCTGTCATTCTTCCTAGGTGGGGCTTGATATCCCAGACGGAAGCAGTGGCCAGCAGGAATATTTCTCCTACATCTTTTATCCGATCACAATTCATTTGGTGGATCCAAGTTAATGCTAAATCATAGAATAAAGTTATTTGTCACCCTGACAAACAGATGGAAGGCATGGTTACTGACTGTGAACATTGAACCCACAGCCTTTTGCACTGCTAACACAATGCTCTACCACTTAGCCACAGGAGGGCTTTGGGCACATCTCAATAGGGTGCATAAAGTGTCTTAAAAGGTACATATTAGTACTTCAATTGTACATAATCATACCTAAATGGTACATATTAATACCTTTTTGAAGTGTAGCGCCCCTATGACAGCTTTTAAACCTTTTTTTCTGAACCTTTTAAACCTTTTTTAATATATACTTTTAAGATTTTAAGTACACTACAAGTACATAGTCAATGCAATTATGTGCACTTCTTTTTAACAAGGGCTGAGATGCCTCTATACGTATTTAGGGTTAATAATGAATTGTGGTGGCCAACAGGTTTACAGTGCGGGAATACAACCTGGATGAAGCCGAGAAGCAAATGCAGGAGATGAGCCGTCTCACTGTGAATAAGAAGGAACTGTGTGTAAGTAAATCCTAATGAATGAGAGCCTATTCCTTTTCATAATATAGACACTAAACAATATTCATTTAAAGTTCTTTATTACGCACTGGTTACTGAGACAAAACGGACCATAGAACTGATCAAATAAACATTTTGCATCAATGATTCTTCAGCATGTTCACCTGTGTTTGGATGCAACCTCCTGCTTTTTCCATTTTCACACTTTTTTAAAATTTTATTTCATTTCTTTTTTTGTCTGTCACCAACAGCGTGTACTGTCATATAGAATATTTATTATACGTACTTTAAAATCTACAGCTTCAGTAGACTACGCTTAAGAATGAGACTTCAGGATGTTTTCAAACCCGATTTTCAGCTTCAATTTGTCAGTACAGGAAATTTTAAAGTGTTGACCAAATGACCACATTTTCCGTGTTTTAAATGCATGCATGCAATTTTTTGTTGTTGTTACTACTAATAGGCTCTACTGTTGACCTTATATATATAAACAAATATTTCTGTTTGTCTGAAGTTTAATATATATATTTAAACCACATGAAATATAGATATGAGGATGGGCTAGTGAGAGGATATTTTTGGGGGATAATGAGAGATTAAGTTGAAAAAAGAGAGAAAATTAATTTGTGTTAAGAGCATTCTAGTGATCATCTCTGATTAATTTCAGAATATACATGTTACTTTCAAAATTAATGGCCAGTAAAAGTGTCTCAAGAATCAGTGCAATGGTAAAAGTGTGCTTGTTTGTCCCAACAGAGAACATTTGTGTGCTGGCTAAAGGTAAACTTCAGTGAGATCTTTGTGGCCTGGATTCACATCAAGGTCCTCCGTACATTTGTTGAGTCAGTTCTCAGGTAAAATTATCACTTGAATAAGTAAACTAAATCAATCATAAATATAAACAGATAAACACAACACTCTGCTGTTGGTTAGGTATGGTCTGCCGGTCAGTTTCCAAGCTATTTTGCTACAGCCCAGTAAGAAGAACAGAAAGCAGCTAAGGCAGCAACTCAACTCTTTATTCAAACACCTCGACCCAGCAGCGGCGACTGGTAAACCAGATGTAAGTTTTTTTCCCCCTCTCTTTTTATACCTGAATTCCCATTTCCAAAGCGACACATGATTACAGGTTAGGTGCACCCAAAAATTAATTTCTATTATAATAAAATAAATATTTAAATGTTGTTTGAAAAAAAAAAATTGGCTGGCTATGGAGATATTTTTGAATAGCCATCAATGGAAAAAGACGTTCTTTAACGCCAGATGGTGTAGTTACCACATCTACCAGCATGTGCTTATCATCATGTCATTTCAAAGCCGTGTGACTTTTTATTTCATCCATGAAACTAAAAAAGAAGAAATTCCAAAGAATTACAGGCCTGCTACGCACTCTTTTTTTTGTAATGAATGGGGACTGAAGTCTTCAAACTTTAAAAAGTACACACACTCTAAAAAATGCTGGGTTAAATATAACCCAGCGCTGGGTTAAAAAGGGACAAAACCAGCTATTGGGTTGTTTTGAATCCAACCACTGGGTCAAAACAACCCAACTGCTGGGTCAAAACAACCCAATAGCTGGGTCTGTCCCTATATATATGCATGACCCAATGCATAACCCAGAGTACAGAATGTAAATAGACAGGGTAGTTAAAATTTTATTTTGTCATAAAGTGTAAGCATTTCTAAACATTACGGTTGTAGTAAATGTGTTTTCAATTGCTGCTCTGACAGCTTTCTTCTACAGATCTGGAAAGGCACCATAATATTTCTTAGGTACAGGAATAGTGATGCTAATATTGAAGGAGTCATGTTATGCATTCTGAAAATTCATTAAAAACAAAACACCTCTCCAAGAAACCCCACAGTATCTGTCTTCAATAACCCCGCCACAATAGCCACAATGTTCCTCATGTCACATTTGCAGTTTCATCAGTACAACACTGACAATATTGCAGCAATAAACTTAGGTCAGAAAGTAAATGTATTTACTGTCAGTTTATTGCCAGCGATATTAAACTGATTTGCATTTTGCATAATGACAGCAGTTTCTACAGAATAATCACAGCAAAAACATTTATGTCACCACAGATACAAGTTGGCAAAGCTATCAAAGCATAACAAAAATATCTCAAAGCATTTAACATAAATAGCCAATTTTCTTGGAGTGTATCCCAATAACGCCTCAATGGAAAATAGCAAACCAGTAGAAACAGTCAGGACACTCAATTACAACAACCAGATATTTACTGCTGGTGTAACCGTGGTTCTATGAATAGTGGAAGACCACCAGAGATGGTTATGTCAAGCATCTTATTCAAGGTTATGATGATCTGTCCAAACGACAGTACCTCCAAGCCCTCCAACTAGTGGTGCCACTCTCCCAATGCCAACCTGACAGCCAGGATTTCCTGATAACGTAATTCCATTCTGCTGGGGGAAATGCGGTAAGAAAACAAAAAAAAAAGCACAGGGGTGAATTTCCTGTCAGAGCAACAGCTCTGGGGCAAAATGGACCCCACCCTCACCTCTGATGCGTCAACCTTCACCACAAATTGATGCAAAGGGTCAGGATTAGAAAGAATGGAGGCCAAAACAAAGCAGCTCTTAAGTTCCTGAAATGCCTGTGGCGGCCAGCTGAAGAATTTCTTGGTAAAAGTTAAACTTGTCAGAGGGAAGGTGATCTGACTAAAGTTGTCAATGAACTGCCTGTAAAAACTGGATTCAATAAGGGCTTGAAGGACAATATTATTGTGCTGCAGCCTGGTCTGGTGAAGAATGCAAAGTCCAGGGGATTTCTCATCAGAAGTAACGCTCACCATTAACTCCTTTAACGGTGAGCTCCTCCTTTTACTGGGCATGATGCAACAATGTGTTCTGGATGTCCGCAATAAAAGGCACAACCCCATTAACTATGCGATGACGTTGCTCCTCAGGTGATAGCTATGCTCTCCCAATCTGCATGGGTTCCTCCTCTGACAAAGAATAAGATGAGGTGACTGCAGAAACTGCTCTTAGCACAGGAAACCTCTACAGCGAAGTCTGCTCATAGACAGACAATTCTCCACATTAATGGCCAGGTCCATCATGCCGTCAAAACTACTGGAGAGATCAAGAGAGTAAACCTCATCCCTGATCTGGTCGGAAAGCCCATGCAGAAAATGGTCCAACTGAGCCTTGGTGCTCCAGCCACAGGAAGCCACAAGGGTGCAGAATTCAGTGGAGAAATCAGACACTGATAGTAGCCCATACTACGGTGGTCGAGAGAGCTCAACGCGCTGCAACTTCAGAAAACACATGCAACTACAAAAAACACCAACAAATTAAGCACACGTGCTGCAAACATCATGTCACAACACAACCAAATTCGGAAACGAGCTGCAAATTCAGAAACGCACTGCAAATAGGACAGACCACAATGGAAATGTTTCAAGGGGACCCCAATAAGTGACGAACCCAGCCTGGACCTGCTTATTGTTCAGTGGCTACTGGTCAGTGGTGTTGTCGATGAACTGAAAGGTGAGTTTTTGTTTATTTTAACATGTATGATTCCTTGGTCTTTTGGATATTATTAGCTGAAATAATCTGACGAAGGACACAATTAACTGTGAAACGTTATTTTAATGCTATGTTAGCTGGAGTTACTCTCACAGGAACAAGCAAGTAAAACTACAGTAGGGTTTTCTGACATGAGTAATAAAATGACATTTTATATATATATATATATGTGACTTTTTATTTCATCCATGAAACTAAAAAAGAAGAAATTCCAAAGAATTACAGGCCTGCTACGCACTCTTTTTTTTGTAATGAATGGGGACTGAAGTCTTCAAACTTTAAAAAGTACACACACTCTAAAAAATGCTGGGTTAAATATAACCCAGCGCTGGGTTAAAAAGGGACAAAACCAGCTATTGGGTTGTTTTGAATCCAACCACTGGGTCAAAACAACCCAACTGCTGGGTCAAAACAACCCAATAGCTGGGTCTGTC